GCCGTCTTCACACTTCGTGGCCACTGCACCAAATCTTAACCACGTCTTCCCACGCCCGTTGCAGGTTTTTGGACAAAGAACGGAGACTATCACTATATAGACGTAACAGACATAAACTCTCCCCTTTCCGTATCTGCTTTGCCTGGAACTATCCCTGACAGTCCCTCCCCAGCCTGGCATCATAGGGGCTACTTTTCCTATAGCCAACCCCAAAGTGGACAGCATTGACAAGCAGGCAGGAGAGACTCGGCCTTGTTTGCCTCTCTCTTCCTGACCCTCCTAATGTCAGGCCACTCTGCAGGCAACCTTCCTCCATGCCGTGCCTCCCCTTTCATTCCTTTATTTCCTCCTCCTACCACATTGTTTGACATTCACTGGGCACCAGTGTGAAGCACTGAGCTGTGGGCAACTGTAGGAGAACATGGACCGTGCTATGGACAGAGGCGGCGGGGCCTCCCCAATGGAGAACTCAGAGGTTTTATTATGTACTACACACTCTTCTAAATTCTTCACATACACTCATGCTTCACTTAACTGTGGGGGTCCATTCTGAGAAATGTGTCATTAGGCGATTTCATCATTGCCTGAACATCACAGGGTGTAATTACACAAACCTAGACGGTATAGTCCACTACACACCTAAGCTACAGAGTGTAGCCTGTTGCTCCTAGGCTGTATGTGATTGGAACACAAAAGTATTTGTGTATCTAAACATAGCTAAACATAGAAAAGCTACAGTAATAATAAGGTATTAGACTCTTATGGGACCACCATTATATATGCTGTCTGGTGTTGACTGAAATGTTGCGTGGCACATAATTGTATTTTTTTTTTTTTTTGAGACAGAGTCTCACTCTGTTGACTGGGCTAGAGTGCCGTGGCATCAGCCCAGCTCACAGCAACCTCAAACTTCTGGGCTCAAGCGATACTCCTGCCTCAACCTCCCAAGTAGCTGGGACTACAGGCATGTGCCACCATGCCCAGCTAATTTTTTCTATGTATTTTTAGTTGGCCAATTAATTTCTTTCTATTTTTAGTAGAGATGGGATCTTGCTTTTGCTCAGGCTGGTCTCAAACTCCTGACCTCGAGCGATCCACCCGCCTCGGCCTCCCAGAGTGCTAGGATTACAGGCGTGAGCCACCGCGCCCGGCTTATATTTTAATTAATTTAATCCTCACCATAGCTCTATGCAGCAAGTATTGTTATTACCTCCATTTTACACATAGGCAAATGAGGCACAGAAAGGTTAAGTAACTTGACCAAGCTTGCACAGCTGGCAAGTAGTTGGTAGGACCTTCCAGACCACCTGAGAGTCATCCTTGACTCACCTGTCTTTTTCACCTCCTAACATCTAATTACTCACTGGGGCATGGAGATTTTACCTCTGGAATCTTTTAGTCCCTTGTCTCTTCTTTCCTCTACCTTTATGACTACTGTTCTATTTCAGATCATCTTTTCTCTTGCCTGGACCATTACACCTTTTTCGTATTTTTTAAATTTTTATTTATTGTTTTTATTTATTACTTTTTTAGAGATGGGGTCTCACTCTGTCACCTAGACCAGAGTGCAGTAATGCAATCATGGCTCACTGCAGCCTCCAACTCCTGGGCTCAAGAAATTCTCCTGCTTCAGCCTCCTGAGTAGCTGGCACTACAGATGCATGCCACCATACCTGGTTAATTTTTAAAATTTTTTTGTAGAGACAGAGTCTTGCGGTGTTTCCCAGGCTGGTCTTGGGCTCCCAAAGTGCTGGGATTATAGATGTGAGCCACCACACCTGGCCTGTTTTTAAATTTTGTATTATAGAAAATTTTAAACACAAAAGTAGAGAGAGTAGTACAGGAGTACAGTGAATATGTCCATTGCCTTTGAAGACTGGGCCTCAGAAGCTACAGGCACTTCTGCAGTATTGCCTGCGTCACGCAAGCCAGCCTGCTTCAATGTGGGGGAACTACACAAGCTTGCAAAACGGAGGATGGATCTGTGCAGGCCATCATGGAGAATGAATTGGGGTTCAGATTGTCCCAATTGTCTTTCTTGTTTTTTTCTTTTAAATTTGGTGTATTTGAATCAGGATTCAAACAAGGTCCACATCATTGCAGTTTGTTGATACACAGCTCATAAATCTCTTTTAATCTCTAGATTCCCTTCCCTTCCTTTTTTTGTTTTTGGATTTGTTCTTTTCCGTTTTTTAAAAACAGAAACTGGGCTGTTTGTCCTTCAAGTTTTCTTTTTAATAATATTATTATTATTATTTTGAGACAGAGTCTCACTCTGTTGCCCAGGCTAGAGTGCCATGGCATCAGCCTAGCTCATAGCAACCTCTAACTCCTGTGCTTAAGCCATCCTTCTGCCTCAGCCTCCCGAGTAGCTGGGACTACAGGCATGCGCCACCATGCCCGGCTAATTTTTTCTATATATTTTTAGTTGGCCAATTAATTTTCTTTCTATTTTTAGTTGAGATGGGGTCTCACTCTTGCTCAGGCTGGTTTCGAACTCCTGGCCTGGAGCAATCCTCCTGCCTTGGCCTCCCAGAGTGCTAGGATTACAGGCGTGAGCCACCGCACCCAGCCAAGCAGTTATATTTACTGATGCACAAATTATCCCATCTTTGGTCATTAGTAACCTCTTCAGATTGGACCCTGAGTCCTTTGGAATGGTACTAGTCATCTCTGAGAGCTTGATAGCATCTTTGCTTTCTGGCATAACATCATGTTCCAGGATCATTGTGTCCATTTCCTGCCGCAGACCTCTCAGCACCATTTCTCCAAGGAGCTTTGATTCCTTTCAGTGGATAATGATAGAGACCAGAATCTGGGCGAGTCTAATCGTCTTTCAGCTGGCCCCTCTTCCTTCCGTCTATTCTCTCATCACCACGTGTTAAACACAAATCTGACCACTCTTTTTTGGGGGGGACAGAGTCTCGCTTTGTTGCCCAGGCTACAGTGAGTGCCGTGGCGTCAGCTTAGCTCACAGCAACCTCAATCTCCTGGGCTCAAGCGATCCTCCTGCCTCAGCCTCCTGAGTAGCTGGAGCTATAGGCATGCGCCACCATGCCCGGCTAATGTTTTTCTATATATATTAGTTGGCCGATTAATTTCTATTTATAGTAGAGATGGAGTCTCGCTCAGGCTGGTTTCCAACTCCTGACCTCGAGCAATCCTCCTGCCTTGGCCTCCCTGAGTGCGAGGATTACAGGTAAGCCCAAATCTGACCACTCTTGCTCAAGTCTTCCACTGTTCTCTCTTGCCCTCAGGACAAAGTCAACTCCTTAGTACCTCATACCAGCTCCTCAGTAACTATTTACCTATTCCCCTGCCCCATTTCCTACTAGTCTCCTTCAACCCAGCAAAACCTTTCTTTTTGCAGCTCCTTCCACTCCCCAAGCTGGCTTACTCTCCTGTGCTTTTTCTCATGCAAATCCCTTGACCTGAAACGTCCACTCCTACTGCCTCTCTTAACCTCTTCACCTGCCTTTGAGATTTAGCCTTAGGTTAGGTGTCATCTCCAAAGCACTTTCCCTGACTGTGTGAGGAGGCTGTTTCCCATGTGCTTACCCATTCAAACGCGTAATGTTTCCATGTAATTCTCCTGCGGGGCCCAGCAGTCAGTGACTACAAAGCAGGAATGGTAGTAACCATTTTTATGCCTAGCTTGGAAATAACAGACACCCCCATGTCATCACCACTAGGTAGAATATACTGTCCATCCTTCCAGCACAGGTCCTTCTACTTCTGCCACCCACTGGTGTCTTTCTCAGTCTACTCAGCCTGCAGGTCTGCTAGGTGTGAAATGAGCTGCTGTTTGTTACCCTCTTCCCCTGAACTGTAATTGGTGGGTTGGCTGGGGGCAAAGACTAAAGGGTTGCTCTTTTTTTTTATTTTTTTTTTTTATTTCGGCATATTATGGGGGAGGGTTACTCACTCTTTTATGCTGGTTACAAAGACTTGAGGTGGAGATTTTGCTCAAATCCCTTCACATTTCCCCTTCACCTTGGCCGGAGCCATAGCCATAGCCAGGATGGAGGGCAGGATGGAAAGGATGACACCAGCCCAGGAGGACTAACCTCAGTGTTACCTACACAGGGCAACAATGAATGGCAGGACTTTGGAAACAGCGATCCTAAATTCTTTCTGGATGCTGCTTGTCAGCATGACGCTGGAAGTCATTGAGTATATGTTGTAAAATATACCATCTTCTTAAGACCACTGGGAATATTAAACAATCCATGTGAAGCACTTCGTACAGTGCCTGACATCGTAAGCACTCAAAAGATGTGCCACGTGCTTCCCCTCAGCACAAGGATAACGTTGGGCTTTAAACAGGGTTTAAGACCAGGCTTTTCTGTCAGCAAGACAGAAAAAATGCTTAAGGAAGGCTTTCCAAGTTGGGGAAAAGTGCCTATCCTAAGCTGGTAAGGGGGCATATGGAATCCAAACAAATAAAGTGGGCATAACCTGGTTGAACTGGAGTAATAGTCAAATTCTAACAGGAAGGCCTGTGCCCACAACGAACATGACAACCAGAGGACGAACATGCCCAAGCTGAATAACCTGATTATAATGCAAGCTCTGATTTATCATCTCACATCTGTAAGGACAAGGATTTTATTCACTGATGCACCTAAAACGGGACCTGGCCATAGTGGATGAGCAAAAATACCTGCAGCATGAGTGGGTATGATCTTTACCATTATGCATGCCCAAATTCCAAAGTTTGGCTGCACATCTGAACCAAGTGCACATGCCCCTAGCACAACTTACAGTAAAGGTAGGGAAGGGAGGAGAGGACTGGAAAAGGGTCTGAGCTATGTATTTGACAGAGAAAATGCCCAACATTTGTGGCACATTGGAGCTAGAATGGGAGGCTGAGGTGTGGGCCTTGTTTCTATTTACACCCAGGGCAGAAACTTAATCTTATCCCACTCCCAGCCCCCACCAGCAAGCCAGACCCAAGCCCAATATCCAGCTGTCCCCTGGAATTTAACACAAATACCAGGAAAGGTTAAGGAATTTTCTTTATTTTTTACAAATTAAGACTATGTAGATTTCATATATTTCTGAATCAAAAACACCTTTGTCTTCACAGTATGAGTTAGAGAATGCAGCCTGAGCTGAAAACCAAGGAACTAGAAAACAAAGTGGTAATTTCAGTGATAACTGTATTAAAAACTTGTTAGGCATTTTCTTTAAAAGTAGTTTTTTTATATATCTTGTCATTCTTGGCACTGTTTCTAAAGAAAAATTCCTTTATCCCAAGCAAAAAAGCACAAGAGGTGGAGTTTGGCTTCAAGAAATTCAGCTCAAATTCTCAGGGCTGGCAGAGAATCACCAAATTTATGGAGAGTTGTTAATGGAGCCTTAATGGGAAGGAAGTCCCTTTAGTAACTTTTCACACCAGAGGCTGGAGGCAGAAGCTAAGTCAGAGGGCAGCATCTTCCATGGAAACGGGCCATCCCGGTGGCATGCCACTCCAGGAATAAGCAGTCAGCATGGGAACAAGCATTTCATGGGATGGCAAAGCAACGTGGTGCGCTGTGAACCAGCAGCCGCTGTGTCAAACTGTGCACTGGTTGTGAACAAGGAGAGCCAAAAACAGTGTCCTACTGGTAATGAGCTTTCAATGGCTCAGTCCCCTTACACTGAAGCCCCGTGAGTAGCCCAGAGCCACAACCACTCCCAATTCTGCCCTTTAGTGCCAGCTGACCGTGGCAACCCACAGGGAAAGAGCTGGTGGTCCACATAAGGGCAGCCCACCCACACTTGAAACTACAAAGCTGCAGAGAATTGGGGTGCTTACGGGTTTGGTCACCTGGCTCCTACATAGAAAGCTGATTTCTGGAAACAGGTGAACAAACCAAAAACTAAAGTGCATTAGTAAAATGAACATTTAATTACTGCCCCAAATCTCTGGCCTGACACTACCTATTAGTATCCAAGTGAGGACAGACAGAAGGACACACCAAAGGACTGTTAGAAACTGCCTACCAAGTCTTCACAGCCTGTTCTGTTGATCTTAGCAAGGAACCACGTGGTTGGAAGAGATTTTGCTTTCCTCTGCCCCAGCAGGTCCTCATCTAGGTTTATCTGGCAGGACTAGTTACAATTAGTCCCAGAGGCTCAACCATTCCCCTTCCCTATCCTTCCTCTTTTAGGACCTTTAATCATAGCCACCTGGTGGAGGCCACTCAGTAATGAAGGTGATAAACCAATTTAAAAAGAGAAAAAAAAAAAACAACCCAGGGGAAGTTTGGGAACCTTATGCTGTACCTTGCCATATATAATCAGCCTTTTCCTAAATGCCTGACAAGAATTAGCCTTCCCTTTGTCCTGAAATCTCCCTGCCCCATGGATGGAAAGCAGGCAGATTCCCTGAGGGTCAGGCAAGGGGTAGAAAAGGGAACACACACATCCACACTCCTTTGTGAAGGAGAGGCAGAAAGCTGTGTTTGTCACACCAGCTTGGGCAGCTCAGAGGCATCAAACAGCATCCACCAGAAGAGGCTCTGCATTTTCTCTGTAGGGGTTGATAGCTCAGATATAATAAGTCTGAGCTAACAATATAATAGGCCTGATCTTCTAGAACTTCTTTCCATGGAGAAAACACTGCCCAGTCCCACAGGAACTGCACACAAACCAAACAATGCTGAGGAAGGAAGGGCCGAGGTGGCTCTACCAAACAGTCCAGGTCCACTGGGCGAAGCTTGGTGGACAAGCGGCTCATGGAGTTAGCATTCTCTGCTGGTCCTCAGCACAGCAGACTGGCTGCCTGAGCAGAGGAAGAGGCTATGGAGATGGGGTTGACAGAAAAGGGAGTGAGAAGAACCCCAGGAAGAGGAAGCCAAACTCCAAACTATATTCTGCTAATCGGTTTTTTGATCAAAAAATTCAAAATAGAGAAAACCACAAAGTACAAAAGCTTTTCTGATGCTTTTCATTATCACAGAACACGCCACCTGTAATGTGTGCAAAGAAGAAATGAGGGGTGGAAGGAGAGGAAGTCAACTGGGAAAGGCTGGGTGGTCATTTCATTTCTTCTCTTTCTTCTTATCCTAGAAATGGAGAAAAATCACCCAATTAATTTTTGGCATCTAACATTATAGCTAAAATTCTTGAGTGAGCCTTTGGCTAGGGACTGGAAGGGATCCAGACAAGAAGGAATGAGAAACACTCTCCCTTAGCTGAGCAAGAACTGAATCTTAACCATCTGCCATGCCAAGAATGCCAACACACTTCATGAGAATAAAGGCCAAATAGCTGTCCCCACCCCAACCCCACCCCAGGGTACCTAGAGTACCTTGGCTACTCACAACCACCACAGCTCAGATCCCAACCAGTGAAAAGCTGCACACTGGCACTTTACCTTAAACAAGCAAAACTAGAGGCAGAGACCACCAACTTTTCCATTATGTTTGGGAAGTGTTCTGTCCTGAAGGGTGAGTATGAGTCCTCAGCACAAACTGACATTAAAAATAATCTAATCCAATGGAACCCATCATTGGGGTGGAAACCCAATGCATTAAAGTAATAAAAGTTGAGTTGCTTTCACTGAAATTGGGGCACCTGTTTGGTGCTCAGTCCAACCGTGGCACAGCCCAGAGAATCACCAATCCCATCTAGTTACCTGCTCCCCTACCACTGCACTGCCTCTTATTCTATGGTAAGGTCTATAAAGAAAAGCTCGTAATCTCATTTGTTCCCCTACTGCTGGATGAGACTATGTTTGATATTCATTAACCCTATATAGAATGCTTCTTTGGAAAAAAATTCAGACTAAAAAATAAGATAAAATTTGTCTACTTCTGAAATTTACAAAAAGTGCTGCCAGTATTATACAACATCTCCTATAATATCCTTTCCCAAATCATAACTATCTTTATAGCCTTTAAATTCTTCTAGTTGGTTGTTTCTTACTGTGCCTGAAGCTCTTTTGCCTTTGATACTAATCTCAGGGGTTACAAAAAAAAAAAAAGATTATTTTGACTTGTTCCTTTTTCTCCATCACTGATGACTTCTGGTTTGCCTCTTACTACTCAGTGGTCTGCTTTACAGTACCCTGGACCTACACAGCATGATAGCAAGTGTTCAAATGTGAAGTACACACATATGACAAACTGAGGAGCCACCTTCTCATTTTCAGGTTGTAGGCTAACTAACCTTCTCGTTCATAGCCAGGATCATCATGAGTTTTCTGAAGAGGGTAACAAAATCTAAGAAGAGATCAATGCAGTGCCTGAAAGGGAAAAACCAGGTTAGGATCTGCATTTCCCACTTTGTTTTATCCACAAGGATGCAAAACATAAACCCCACCTCCACCTCCACCTCCACCTCCACCAGCCAGCTTCTCCAACACGCCACCCCCAGCTAAGAAAGTAAAACTCAGGTGTGTCTGACATCCTTTTCAACTCATTGAAATCAGGTAGTGGCCGGGCGCGGCGGCTCACGCCTGTATTCCTAGCATTCTGGGAAGCCGAGGCAGGCGGATTCCTCGAGGTCAGGAGTTCGTAACCAGCCTGAAAGAGCAAGACCCGTCTCTACTAAAATAGAAAGAATTAATTGGCAACTAATATATATAGAAAAAATTAGCTGGGCATGGTGGCGCATGCCTGTAGTCCCAGCTATTTGGGAGGCTGAGGCAGCAGGATGGCTTGAGCCCAGGAGTTTGAGGTTGCTGTGAGCTAGGCTGACGCCACGGCATTCACTCTAGCCTGGGCAACAAAGTGAGACTCTGTCTCAAAAAAAAAAAAAAAGAAATCAGGTAGCATAGAGAAGAGAGATTGGGCTTTGGACCCTGTGGAGGCCCAAGTTTGAACGCTGAACTACCACTAATTAGTTGTGAGACTTTGAGGGGATTATTACTACATTTAAAAAAAAATGTTTATCTTCTTCTCACTGTTAAAGGTTTAAAGAATACAGAAGCATAAGGAGATAAGATCCCTTTCCCTCTCCCTTGCATGGAGGTAGTCACTATTAAAACTATGGATAAATGTTATTGGTCCAATTTTTTTAAAAATCTGATGTCTTTCACAAACTGAGGGAGACTATGGTGGCAAAACTATGGGTTTTCTACCATAGACTCCCAAAGCTTGGCCACTTATGTTCAGCCAGTGCTGGCCTAAATTCAGCCGTGGAATGGAATGCTATGCCTTCACCCTCGCTCCATTCCACCTTCCTTAATGACCAGTTCTCACACTCACCAGATATAATCCTTATCTCCATTTTCAGCCTTTTCAATAATGAGTTGAGTATCAAAAAGGACAAAGCCACACATGACCACCAGCCCCACATACAGGTTTGCCTAACAAAAGAAGAATGAGATGAAGTTACCATACAGTACAAGTTGTAGAGAAAGAAAACTAGCCATATCTTCTTTCTGGCTCTTGGCCACTTGAAAGTACATCACATGCTAACAATATGGACATTAACATTCATGGGAACTGCAGCCTATGGTGAAGACCACATTACTTCCCTAAGCACAATTCTGCATTCATTTTTTTAGTCACTGGAAGAGCTTCAACCATTTTAACAAGGAGCCCACTGCTGGACTGGCCTTAGACAAATGATCTCTGGGCAAACCGTCTTCTCTTAGCAATGCCCAATCATGTTCAGCCTGTGGCAGAAGGCTCCATCCTATGAGGGTTAGACAGAAGGCCTGCAGATCACTGCCCAGAGAAGGGCAGAAAGAGGTGTGAAAGAAAAATGTGTGAGGCAAATGGCTACTGGAAAGTTCTATCCAAAGTCTTACCTGGAAAAGCCAAATGGATCCAAAGAAAAGGTTTCCCAGGGAAGACAAGAGCATTAGGCTCATGGCTGACATCAAGATACCTATAAGACACAGTAAAAAGCCATCTTGAGAGAAGCCAGAGCAAAGGAAAACAATTCCATTAAGGTTGTTCCTTACTTTCCCAAACAATGAAGGCTTTTAATTTCAGTCCAACAGTCACAAGGGAGGTGATAGTAGGGAAGGAGTCCTAGTGAGAAATCTGGCTAAAGCAGAGCCCCGTTTCCCATTTCCCAGTCAACACTTACCTCCCAGAAAGAGGTAGCTACGGCGCCTGGCATAGAGTGCACTCAAGGTGAAGCAGGTGAAGATCATTGCAGTGCCCATGAAGGCAGTGGGAAGGATGCTATTAAAGAAAAAGATCATTAGATTGAGGGCTACAGATATATTGGCTTATATTTAGAAGGTATATTCATAAAGGTAAAAAAACATAAGATACTACTAAAATAGTTACCTGGGGTTGATGGCAATGCACAGCTCCAAGGCAGGGCCCAGGCCAACTCCTAGAAAATAAGAAAACCCAGAACACGATAATATCATCAATTCTTGAAGAGGACCCTTGTCCTACAGCAGATCATTAATAGCATAGGCATGCTCATGGTCGGTAACAAACACATAAAAACGTGGACTAAAAGTAATTAAATCTTTCTTCCTTCCTCATAATCATTTTCAAGAGAATGTATACTTGACGGACTTACTAGGTTATTAAATATGAAATGTCCAATTCTGAATCAAAAGTTTAGTTTATTATGTCTCAAACAAGAAGCAATACAATTTATCAAAGTATGCACCTGAACTATCACCACACTTTTGCCATCTTAACAGTAGCTTGTTTATGCCAGCAGCAAAGAAGACTGGAGAGTGGTGATGAAATCATAAAAGGTGTTTTCCACAGCTTGTTGAGAACTGAATATTTTTCCTTGCAAGATGTGCGGCTAGGCGCGGTGGCTCACGCCTGTAATCCTAGCACTCTGGGAGGCCAAGGCAGGCGGATCGCTCAAGGTCAGGAGTTCAAAATCAGCCTGAGCAAGAGTGAGACCCCCATCTCTATTAAAAAATAGAAAGAAATTAATTGGCCAACTAAAAATATATAGAAAAAATTAGCTGGGTATGGTGGCGCATGCCTGTAGTCCCAGGTACTCGGGAGGCTGAGCAGAAGGATTGCTTGAGCCCAGGACTTTGAGGTTGTTGTGAGCTAGGCTGACACCATGGCACTCGAGCCCAAGCAATAGAGTGAGACTCTGTCTCAAAAAACAAAACAAGAAGTGTCAAAGTGAAATGTTAGAGATAGCAACTGTCAAACTTGGTACTTAAGGGAACTGGACATTTCATACTTAATAACTTAGTATGGCCGGGCACGGTAGCTGACACCTGTAATCCTAGCACTCTGGAAGGCCGAGGCAGGCGGATCGCTCGAGGTCAGGAGTTTGAAACCAGCCTGAGCAAGAGCGAGACCCCGTCTCTACTATAAATAGAAAGAAATTAACTGGCCAACTAATATATATAGAAAAAATCAGCCGGGCATTGTGGCACATGCCTGTAGTCCCAGCTACTCGGGAGGCTGAGACAGTAGGATTGCCTGAGTCCAGGAGTTTGAGGTTGCTGTGAGCTAGGCTGATGCCATGGCACTCTAGCCTGGGCAACAAAGCAAGACTCTGTCTCAAAAAAAAAACCAAAAAAGAAAAAACCTAGTATTTATTTATAGACATAGATGCAAAACTATCCTCTTAGCTGAAAATCATGGATGATCCCAGGAGAAACAAAAATTAGAAAAAAAATGAAGCAGGCATGTCAAACATTTTTGAGCTAGAGTGATGTGAGACTGTAATGTGGGCCAGACCAGGAATTAGAACAGAAAAAAGGACAAAGAGCAACCCTGTAGTCATACAGGACTGACTTCCTTTGTAGCAAAGGCCAGACCGGTTCTGCAGGTGGCCACTTGCCAACAGGAGGGCAATCTGTTCCAGCTTCAACATTTCCTCTACTCTGGTTACTATCTTCTCTCCTTCTGATAATTCTACCCCTTAAATGCCTTCAAAAACCAGCTTTCCCTGACCCAAAAATCTTAATCCCTAAATCCCTTCCTTTCTATAATTTCTACAACCACTGTATAGATTAGACTGTCACTCAGAACAAGCTGTACTAACTCAAATGTTGCTTTGCAAGTATTTTTATTATTTAGCTTGGGTCCTGTTTCCTTTAATGGCAATTCTTAAAGAGCTGCACTTTTAATTCTTTTCTTGAGAATTGGCAAGGTGTCCCATATGACAGATCTCAATATATGGTTTTAAGTAACTATTTGCAAGAATCTGAATGAAGTCAGATTCTCAGGCCTAGTTTACTACTTGTCTACCATTAACAAGTTATGCTATCTAAGCTCTTGAACCTCATTCACTCAACCATACAATGCCTATTTTTGGATACAAAAATAGAAGTCACAGTTGCTAGTCACAAAAAGCTTCCCCCATGGATGGGGAAGATGAACCTGTATGAAAAAAGAAAGCAGGATGTGAAGGCGATCTGGCTGACAATTAGACACCTGCCTAGCCAGCCAGATGTCCCCTTCCTCCCTCACCACTCCATGTGTGTCCCTCCCAAAGCTGCACGCTTGGTCAAAGAAGATGACCTTCCCCAATAGAGGAGGACCATTCTTCAGTCAAAGGTATTCAAGTAACTGCACGCCCCTGCTAGAACCTCCAAACAAGCTCTGAAGAAAGCACTACAAGGCAAAAATCCACTCGAATACAGTAGTTCCTCTTCATCTGAGGGGGATACATCCCAAGAACCTGCATAGATGCCTGAAACCTCACATAGTACCAAACCCTATATATACTGTTTTTTCCCATACATATATACCCTATGATAAAGTTTAATGAAGTTATGTGAACATGGGCCTTCTCTATCTCTCTCTCAAAATATCTGATTATACTGTACCTAAAGTAACTGAAACTGAGGAAAGTAAGACCCAGATATGGGGGACTAGTGTACAAGAGGTAGTGCAGTGCTACAAGGAACCAGAAGGGAGAAATCATAGCTGAGTGAGATATTTCGGGGACATTCTCCAAAAAGAAATTTTCTGAAGAAACTACCATTGGATTAGGCAGACATTAAAGTATGCCGGCTGAGGTAAATGAAAATACAGCTTTCCCTTGGTACCCTCATCAGACCGGTTCCAGGACCTCCCACTCCTGCCATACCAAAATCCATGGATAATCAAATTTTTTATATAAAATGGCACAGTATCTGCATATAACTCACGCATATCCTCCTGTACACTTTAAATCATCTCTAGATTTGTAATACCTAATGCAATGTAAATGCTCTGTAAATTGTTGTTATACTGGATTGTTTATTTGTACTATTTTTGATTGTTGTACTGTTTTTTTTCCCAGCATATTATGGGGTACAAATGTTTAGTTACGTGTGTTGCTTTTCCCCGATACTGTTATTTTTTATTGTTTTCTCACCCAAATATTTTTGATCTGTAGTTGGTTGAATCTGAAGCAGATATGAAACCCAAGGACACAGGGGGCTGACAGTAAATACAAATCTCAGGACTTAATCTAAGGAGACACTAAAAATATAGTTCCCCCTCAAAATTAGACCAATCCCCTCATGTACCTGTAAGGAAAGCAAATCCAGCAAGAAGTCCCAGTCTTTTTTGCTCAGTTTCATGGCTGTGAGGTGTTGCCATCAGCCAAACCATCAACACCAAGGAGCCCAAGGCAGACAGCAGGCCAGCCTGTCAGAACCAGAGTCAAGAATTAAACACTTGAAAGTTTCAAATTTATTTTACAGGAGACCTTTCCTGGGTTCAAATACTCATCTGAACTTCCTAATATTTGCTTCTAACCTGGAGGCAGGAGAAAAGGCAGCGTTTTCTCAGGGGTAAGGCTGAGGAGAGAAACCAGAAGCCTTGAAGCACAGAGTTAGGACCACAGTAGATACTAGAGGCTCTTCTGGCTTGGACAATCCATCAACTAACAGTACAACCACCCAAGTCAAACTAGGAGTGAGTCTTGCCCAAGAAACAGAAAAGATGAACCAAAGTGACAAGTGCTTGAAGCACATTCCACCTATAGAACAAGGAGAAATGACCCATTTTTGATCACTTAAAAAAAGGCAAAAAACCAAGACACAAAGAAAAAAGACTAAAAAGAAAAAAAGATTGGAAAGTACCAAAATGTTAACAGTAGTTACTTCTGGGTGATGGCATTATGGATGCTTTTTAAAATCTCCTTGTCATCACTAATTTGTTTTGTATATTTCCACAGTGAACGTGTATTAGTTTTGTAACAAGAAAAATTTTTTTCTTTTTTCAAGAAAGCAAGTGGAAAAAACTCCAGACATTAGAAAAAGAGGGAAATCATCAAGGATGGATATAGACACTAAAGTTCCTTCCTTCCTCTGAAGGTACAGTTGATTCTCCTTATTCACAGTATTTATGTTATAAAGTTATAGTGGACAATAAATTAGTTAATTTGTAACCCAGTGTTCCTAGGTGAAATACAGCATTAGGTTCCTATGAACCTCTGGTCACAATATTTTCACCAAATGATTAAAACATAACCTTGTCTTACGTGTGTTTCTGTTTAAGGACACCTATTTCACATATAGTATTGATTCATTAATATTGAATTCAGCCAAACAGCACTATAACTCATGCCTGAACAAAGCTTATCTCACATACATATTTTCTGCATGAGGTACATCATAGTCTTCTTGCACTTAGGAACACTAGACAACACTTCAGCACTACACTGTTTGCATTCTGAACAGCAAAATCACCAACAAAAAGCATAAAAATGCAAAAGAAGTGGAATTAAATGAACATAAAAATGATACTTGTTTACAAGTATGAGAACTAAACAAGAAGGCAGAGCATTGTTTTAGATGTCAGCTGGGAACATGGCATGGCAGGTGACGAGTTTTTCATTACTCTACAGGTGTCTGTGAAATGTGCCACAAGTATTGATTTTGGGGTTATAAATTTTAGTGAGTAGGTGAATTCCAAAATATGGAATCCATGAATAATGAGGACTGACTATATTTTACTTAAAAAAACAAACAAAAAAACCCCAAACCCACTATCAGAAACCAAAAGGGCCAACTTTGCCTAAAACTCAAGGGATCAAAAAATCCTCTGAATGTCTAGAGTAGTTTTTGGCACAACTCCTGCCAAGAGATGCCTGAGCATAAGGATTGTTCTCAGCAGTGGGTAATGCCAACAAAGACCTACCCCTTTATTTATGCTAAAAAGGACACTCGAAACAGGGACAAGGTTTTCCTAGTGAGAACTTCAAATGTGGATATTCCTCACACTGTCCCTTCTACTTTTTCAAACCCAAACTCTCCTTCAACACAGGAAAATGAGTTGGTAAAGGTTTTTACCCAACCATGAAGATAACAGTGTATCAGAAAATAAAATGGGTCAAATCATTAAATGTCTCAATCCTGCCTTTCCTAGTAATTAATCAAACAATCAGTGTTTTGTATTCAAGTACTCCACAGTCATTGAGGCAAAACAGAAGAAGAAGGGAGGAAAAGATAAAAAGGCTACTGTGCAGAAGAATCCCAGCATGCACGTGATGCTTCTACTCAGTGGGTGGGGGTCTTGTATGTCAGCAGCACAATATTCAGTGTCAAGGTTAAGACATTCTGTTTTCAGTATCTAGAAGGGGCAACTGCACCCCTTCTAGATACTGAAATGTTCTGATTATGGCTGGCTGAGTTCAGATTCTAAACTACTGATAAGGATTAAGGAAGGGCACAGACCTGGCCCACCCTGCTGAGCTAGTCTTTTCCTAATACAGTTTGTGCCATAGCAACCAGGAGAGAAAGCTGTTCTTACCTGAATGAAATGAGTGACCACATGGACATAGGCTCCCGCGGCCGCCACAAACATACATAGGGCAAAACTTGCATAGACCTTCTTCAGGTGCTGCTGTGTGGAGGGGGTTCTAGGAACGAATGTTAACAGCAGCAATCACTCTCAGACCAATTTCATCTCTAAGCTAAGAATCATTCTCTCTTTTTGGTCTTTCCAGGGAATATGTGAAAGTTACGTTACAAACAGTTTAAGATACCTTAGGGAAGTCGAATTTTAATTAAAAAAAGAATATTTTGAAAATAGGTACACAGTCTTAGGTGCTGGAGAAGAACCAAGAGCCCCAAATTATGAACAATAAATACCCAAACTAGAATAAATGCCTTTCCAGTGACCACACAGCAGCCCTTACGATCCGGGTATTTTAGTCAGGTCTTCTGGATTCTAGCCAAGTTAGTTTATACATGTAAAAGTTAGTAAATTAGGAAAAGGGAAAAGAAACCAGATATGAAAGGAAATGCAGTAAGAAACCACAGTCAAGGCCAAAATACTTACATATGGGAAAATTTTAAGAGGGCATCAAAGTTGATCTTCCGATCAAATATGTTCATGGCTCCGGAGTCTGTGTGACAAAGCCTCCCCTCTATAGAATCAAGAACAAAGAAAGGTTATTTTAAAGACACTAAAGTTATTTTAAAGCAACTTTCTTATAGAAAAATAGCAACATAAAAGCTTGGAAAAATGAAAAGTTGCTTAAAATCCCACTGCCCTAACACAACCATTTTTATGTCCTTCAAGAATATATCTGGCAGGGCCAGGTGCGGTGGCTCACACCTGTAATCCTAGCACTCTGGGAGGCCAAGGCGGGCAGATTGCTCAAGGTCAGGAGTTAGAAACCAGCCTGAGCAAGAGCAAAACCCCATCTCTACTAAAAATAGAAAGAAATTCATTGGGCAACTATATATATATATATATATAAATTAGCCGGGCATGGTGGCACATGCCTATAGTCCCAGCTACTCAGGAGGCTGAGAAAAAGGATTGCTTGTGCCCAGGAGTTTGAGGTTCCTATGAGCTAGGCTGACACCACGGCACTCTCTAGCCTGGGAAAGGAGTGAGAAGAGACTCTGTCTCAAAAAAACAAGAATATATTTGCAATCATAGTTAATCATTTTAAAGAGGACAGAGGAAATGAATCCATCCTTTCCTCCAAACTATTTTGTTACTATCATTTGATTTCTATTCTTTCAAAAGGTAATTTGTCCCTTTAAAAGGCAATTCATTTGTAAGAGAAATTCTCAATTAGCAATCTAGTTAAAGGGACCCAGCCACTGACACATAAAGCAATTTCATGTCATTGTTTCTAGAAGCTAGAGACTTTCCTCAGTAAAGGTACCTCAAGGATAAAAAAACAAAACTCTAAAGCTGGGTGTGACACTAAGATCTACATTTGAAATACATACATAGGGAAATTTTCCACCTAGGAAAACAGATACATTTTGGAACTGAACTGAAAAAGATTCACTATTTAAAAAAGAAGAAAGTCCTACCACTGTGAAAAAGGAATTTAGTTTATGCAGAAAGGAGGATTTCTGGGGTATTTTTTTTTACATAGTTCCAGAATCTTTCCTACAGAACGGCTGGAATAGTACAAAGAATTTCTGTATATGCTTCACCCAGGTTTCCTAAATATTACTATTTCATCACATATGCCTTATCCTCTTCTCTACATATGGCAACATACAATAAAAGGACAAAATATTTTTTCCTAACCATTCAGACATGATGCCCCTAACTATATCACTTCGTTGTATATATCCTGAAAACAAAGATCAAAATCAGGAAATTAACACTGATGTAATATTACAGATCTGATCTATAGACCTCACCAGATTTTGCCAACTGTCTCAATGTCAGAAAGGACTTAAACTGAACTATATCCTGGTTACATTACATCAATACCATAAAGTCAGGTTCTTAAATCTTGCTCTGTCCCCTATCAACACATTCAATCTTAAAAACATGTTCAATCTATAGAACTAAAGACCTAAATCAAGAGCTTTTATCTTTCCTTAATATAAATCCTCCAAATTCTTATAAGGCACATAATGCCCATCCATTTCAAATCTACCAAAAAAGAGGGGTGGGTGGGGGAAGAAGGGATTCAAGCACAAAAGATAAGTTGACTGAAAGACAACTACTCATGCCCTTTCTATCAGCACCTAACTCAACACAATCTAGGCAATAAAAGTAACAATACCCAAATCAATTTTCTGAAGAATCCTGGGCCAATGGAAAGACGTCACTCAAAGTTCATAAAAATCACTACCATTACTTTCCTGAGGCTCTCTCCCACAAATGAAACAATCACAATGACTGGCTTGCCTTCTCTGACCAACATTGCTACTCACCTCACTTCTTTTGTTAGTTCTATTTTTAAGGATGGACACAGTAAGAAGTTGCAGAACCTACTAAGGCTGTTGCGGTCTGAGTCACCTGGCTCTGGGCCCTCTTGATCTAGATGGTGCAATTATTGCTGTTTGTTGCAAGGCCAACCACAGCCTTCCATAACCATGATGAATATGTCCCCTAGAGAGCATACTTACAGGATGGCAGAATCCAGCACCTGGAAAGTGTCTTTGTTTAAGGCTTCCATTAACACCCCTAATGATGTCCCTAGGCAGAACTTGCAGCAATACTGAAGCAACCTTCAGAGCCAAGTTTCTCAGTATTCACAATGATAACACTGAAATACCCCTTGCTTCCAATTTCAAGAATTTAAAAGGGCTTATGAGGAGGGGGAAACCCTAAAATACTTGGGGATTTTTAGTCAAAATGGCAACACTCATGTAACCAGATCCTACCAGTGGAAACTGTGGGAGGAGAGAATGGCAGAAACCCCTTTCCCAGTTTGTTCTTTGACATTTCCCAGGGGGTACTTGACTGCATCTTTCTGGTTCTCTCTTACAACTGTTAATGGAAAAACCAAAACCATCAAAGGCTGTGTGGGTGGGGAGAAAGATGTCAAACAGTAATTTTGCCTTGATTTGGTAGTGGCTTGTGGTTAATTTTAAAAATTAACAAAACTTCTGTTTTTTGGCATTACTGTGCCAAAATTTAAATGAAACACAACTACCAAATATTATAGATGCAAAAGTACACAATTTTAATTGCATTATGGTAAAAAAAGAGAGAGAGAGAGAAAGAAAAGAAAGCAATCCAATAAAGAGAGAGAGAGAGAGAGAAAAGAAAGCAATCCAATAAAGTACAGACAGTCCCTGACTTACCATGGTTGACCAATAACTTTTCAGAGTTTAGGATTGTGCAAAAGCAACATGCATTTAGTACACTCCTTGATTTATGATGGGATTACCTTTGAATAAACCTGTTGTAAGTTGAAAATATCCTGAACTGAAAATGTAAGTCAACTTATGAAACAACCTGCATTTTCTACTTCCAGTATTTTCAACTTACAATGGGTTTATGCACATAGCCCTATCTTAAGTTGAGGAGCATCTGTATACATTTAATGTATATGATGTAATGTATAGATGACAATTTATTTCAAAAACGCAAAACGTGAGGCAGAAAAATTAGCTCTTAGAATCAAGGAAATATGATAATTTGTTCTAAGTCTGTTCCAAATAGACAAGAACTAATGTATGGGTACGTAATGAGAAGAAACTGTTCTTATCAGTTTTGCCAGATAAAATAAACTTACCAGGTTTCTATTATAGCCTCAACTAGTTGTGCTCAAAAAAGACACCTAAATTTCAATGGCCAATGTGCAAACTCAGCTGAACACGATAACTGCAATCATAACTCAAAAAATAGCAGCTCCCATATCAAAAGTATTTTCAGTCCCAGAAAAAGTTGGCTCCTAACAGCTTAAAGTACTGTATTCAATACCATTAACCAAGTTACTCAGCTAACATTCCAGGAGCTCCATAGTTAAATAAAAATCTTCATTAAAAAAAAAAAAAGGTAAGTATTATGTATATTTTACAATAAAGAAAAGAAGTACATTATAAGTTGCTCAAAAATTCAATATAGTAGTCCTAACACACATAATAACCCTATTACAAAACTGATATTAGCATTAGTCTTTCTCACCCTGGATCCCAATTCATACAGAAACCTAGAAATTGGATTCTTTCCCACTTCCCACTATTAATACTCAACTCTAAAACAGAGAGGGGGGATTATTTATGTAGATCACAATGTGGACAGTGCCTCCTGGAGTTGTGGGAAGTTTGCCTATACTGCATTTTTAAATGAGAAGTAAATGTTTAGGTTCTAATCATAACCAAGTTCCTTTGATATAGTTCAGAGGCTCAAAGCTCTAGGAAAGCAGGAACCCCAAAACTTGTCAGAATCTGTCAACTTGGCATGCATATACTGCTAAAGTTTTGTTGAAATGTCACCATTCTGAGGATCCCCCAGCCAGTCTCCTCTGCCAGAGCCACCCAAAAACAAAACAAAAAGCTAAGAGCTTAATGCACAGCTTTACCAAGAAATAAAAACTTAAATACATTGTTTTAGTTAGGTATTCCTATGGTCTGTTTTTGTTTGGGGGAGAAGGGACAGCAGGGGCTGATAAGAGACAGATATTCTGATCGTTTTTTGTTTCTTTTTTGAGACAGAGTCTCACCCTGTTGCCCAAGCTACAGTGGCATGGCATCAGCCTAGCTCACAGCAACTTCCAACTCCTGGGCTCATGTGATCCTTCTGCCTCAGCCTCCCGAGTAGCTAGGACTACAAGCATGCATCACCATGCCAGGCTAATTTTTTCTATATATTTTTAGTTGGCCAACTAATTTTGTTTCTATTTTTAGTAGAGACGGGGTCTCACTCTTGCTCAGGCTGATTTCGAGTGATTTGCCTGCCTAGGCCTCCAGGAGTGCTAGGATTACAGGCGTGAGCCACCATGCCCGGCCAGATATTCTTATCAATGGACATCTATGTCACATTAAATCCCTTGTTGTTTTGTTCCAGATATCTTCCTTATTCTTGTCCTAAAATGAAAGATTATTATCAAGGGTCAAGCCTTAATAATAATAAAAAAAATTCTCTACAATCCTATTCCAACACTTCTAGTAAGTACAGTGCATATGAAACATGCTGAAATAGCCAAAAGCTATGCAAAACAGAAACTATCATGCATTTAGTATGCATTTTAAAAAAAATCCTGGCCTTTGAAAATTAAAAGCCTGCTGAATGCTAGAGCCAGGACAGAAGTTGCTAAACAAGCAAATCAAAGAAACACTGTTCACACATTAAATATTAGTTTAACCATAAACTAATTAAATATTAGTTTGTGAATTACACGGCTCTATCTTCCTGTTGTATTAATTCAATAATTTTGAACTCTGTCCCCACACATCGAGAAGAGATGAAATTGATACTTAGAAGAAAAACCCCACATGGTTTTTATAAAGGGGGATAGGACTGCTTATAATTTTCCAGTAAACATGCTCAGAACATTTATATTAGCCTACAGGTGGGAAAAGTCACCTAACACAAAGCCTACTTGTTGATAAAGTGTTGAATATCTCACATGTTGAATTAAGTGTTGAATGTCTCATGTGAGAATATCATACCATATATCTGTGGCCTGGGAATTAAAAAATCTCAAGTACATGGTTCACACCTGTAATCCTAGCACTCTGGGAGCTGAGGCAGGCAAATGGCTCAAGGTCAGAAGGAGTTTGAAACCAGCCTGAGCAAGAGCGAGACCCCATCTCTACTAAAAAAATAGAAAGAAATTAATTGACCAACTAAAAATATATACAAAAAAAAATTAATTAGCCGGGTATAGTGGAGCATGCCTGTAGTCCCAGCTACTGGGGAGGCTGAGGCAGTAGGATCTCTTGAGCCCAGGAGTTTGAGGTTGCTGTAAGCTAGGCTGATGCCATGGTACTCTAGAGACAACAGAGTGAGACTCTGTCTCAAAAAAAAAAAATAAATCTCAAGTACAGTTTCTACTGAATGTGTAGCACTTTCGCACCATCATAAAGTCAGAAAATCATTAAGTTGGGGACAGTTTGTACTTCTGTTTAAATGGCATGCCTCTCCTCTGGCACATTTACACAGTATATCTCTTGTCCCACAGGGCCACAGGCGTTTTGAGATAGCCTAATAACCACTAAGTGATAATCTGATATGGTAGAAAACATGAAGTAAATGGTCATTAGCTCAATGCTTTCCCTGCCACCCTGAGGAGATAGGTCAGTTCAGTTTCAGAACAATCCAAGGAATTCCATTTCAACTAAGGCTGGGCTTTGATTGTCCCAGATTGGAACCACAGATGTCCCAGACTCTCCCTTAACTGGGACCAAAATCCCTGGATTAGCTAAAACTGAATCCATCTCTTTAGAGAGCTGGTTCAGAACCTAACCAGTAACTAGAGATGGAATGCCTTTTGCTTTCAATAAATTATTTTTTGTGCCAAACTCTGACACTCCTGAATCTCCCTCTCTATAACCACAACTATTTGACAGATATTGAATCATAAGAAGGCCCCAATGTCCTAAATACATAATCTTCTTCCAGTATAAACCAGTAATCCCTCCCCAATAACACCATATTTAGCCCAAATGAGAGCAAGCATAGATTAGGACACAGCACACCCACTTCACCCTCATTCTTGAAGCTCTTTTTTCAAGTGTTTTGGATTCTTATTTCAGTTAATTGTGCAGGAACTTCTCACCTTGTGAGCAGAGCCTGCATGTGATTCAGCTCAGCTATCCCCCAGACATAAGCATACCGAGGAGTCTCTAGAGCAGATCTAGACCCCATTATCAGTCAGGAATGCCACAACCTCAAATCAGTATTGCCCAGCTGGCTCAGTGGAATCTACCTCGCAGAGTTATACAAGTGGCTTTAAAGGCCAGTCCTATATCCTTTCTCTCCCTAGTCTTTAACACTGTCTTTGGAAAACAAAAATGTATTTAATGTAAAAACTACAAAGAGCTCCATGAAATTTGGCTAAGAACTCTGGAGAACAGAACAGGGTAGGGTGGAAGGCACTTCTACTAGATTCTACAGCCAAGTCAAAGTAGTAAAGGAAAATTTAGAAGACAGGGCATCACGAGAATATTCAGTGGTTTCCCTAGAGAAGATTAATCCCCTTGGGTAGTTTATGAAATAAAATGAAACTTTTCAGGCCAGCAGTAGTATCTTCTAACAATAATACCACTCTCTACATTTATATAAAATTTTATAAATTTCAAAGTGCTTTTATACTCATCATCCCCTTTGATTACACTTCAATACATGAGGAAAGGGCAAGAATGATTAGTTCCACTTTAAAGATCTTTTAAAAAGGCAGTGTAATAGTTGTGAAAGCACTGGATTTAGTGTCGCAAATCCTGCCATTTTCTACCACATAAACCTGGGAAAATCATCTCAGCTTCCTCATCTGTAAGGTAAGGATGATGATTAATACCTGTTCTACTGAATGCCAACAAGAAAACCTGGAAGAAATCATTGTAAAGTGCTAATTGGACAGTATTGATTTGCCTAGTATCAGACAGTTAAAATAAATAGCAGAAGCAGAACCAGAACCAGATTTGGAGTCTTCTCACCTCTATAGTCTTGGTGCTCTTTCTACTATTCTACCCTACAGTATAAAAATAAGCTGTCATCTATATAAAGCTTTCAAAAGTAATTTCTAGCCATAGGTCAAGAGAAATCTTTAAAAAAAAACCCCAAAAACAAAACCACCCCAAAACATATGCTAATTCCTATTACACTTTTCGGTATTTTTCAGCATTTCTACAAAGACCATGAACTATATCAGGAAAAAATTTGAAAATGCTAAATATCTGGATTAATGTTACCTTTTCCTATTATTTAGGAGAGTAAGACTTCATTCAGATCAATAGTGGAGAAGGGAGAGAAGGGAAGAGAGTACTAAACTCCATTTCCATAACATGAATAATGGAAGAAGGAAACTCTAGATCTAAATTACTGACTGCATTTCTCAAGAAGCCAATCATTTATGCCCCAAATGTAGGAAACTGGCAGAGAATCCAAATGTCAACATGTTCTTGAAGTCAGAACAAAAAATTTTAAACAAAGAGGAATAAGAAAACACCAAAATGAGTAAATCTAATAATTACAGAAATAAGTGTGTATGGAGAAACCATAAGAAATGTGGTTATGCAATTCAGATAATGTTTAACTAAATTCTTAAACTACGTGTACAACTGAAAGACAAACTGTAAATAAGTATCAATAAGTAACTAGAAAAGCCCATTCGCCATTAACCTTTATCCTTAAAATCTTTGTTTCAGGCACAGTCAGCTCTTCTACTGAGTTACACATTCACAAGTTAACTATTGCTAGAAGAGGGTCTCAAGTTCATAGTGGTTTTGTTGTTGCTTAGTCAGTGAAAGGCTAATGGGATAGGGAACGCAACCTGAGCTGGCATGGGATAGCAATTCTACACTTGGTAAATACACAAATTACCAAAGCCTACTTATTACTACAGCTCTAGCAAGTAGGCCCAAGAAAAACAACCGCCCAAAGACGCCCTTCCTGAGCACACTTTGAGAAAGACGCCCACAGGGCTCAAGACCAAGCAAAGCAAGGCCACCTCACCTGTCCAAAGGTAACCAATCAGACCAGGGCGGGGCTGCCCTGTGGGGCTGGAAGCCAGGCCAGGCCCCAGTCTCACCTCCTGCCTCTGCTGTTGGCTCCACAGTATCTAAGGAGCCTCGCGTGTCACAGAGGACTGTGACATCATCAGCCCCGCCGTGACAAGGCAGCCTGCCTGACCAGGCCCTAGCTCAAGTCCCAGCTCCTGGCAGTTCACCAGGGGCACAGAGGACCCTCAGCAGAGCAGCGATCGGTTGTTTGGGGTGGGGCGGGGGTGACCACAAACCCGTGAGATTTCGCTTTCACAATTCACCTCGGAAGGAAGGGGCGGGGACGTGCCCTGAATTCAAGCGATCAAGGCTGGGCCAAGGGCCCCTGCGCATACACTCAGTGGAGGGGGAGGAGAGGAGAAACGCGGAGTGGGAGGAAGAAAGGAAAGCAGGCTAAGAAGGGACCTTCGCTATCGCTCTGGCGCAGAATGGGGGCCTCGACGCCCCCATAGACCCCGCAGTCTCGCCGCCTCCGTCCCTGTACGCAGCGCATGCGCAGCACTAGTTCCCTAGCTTCCCTCCCCACCCAGCTTTCCAGAGTCTAGTCTCCGAGCAGGGCCCAGTTCCCATAGGGTGTAATCTGTCCGAAAACGGAAGCTACTCCCACTCTTCCTCAAACAGTAACTACTGATTCCTTTTCCACTTCTCACTCCCGACCTGCCTAGTCCTAGCTTCAGACGTACCTTCTTTGCCGGCCTCTCCGGAGACCACAAGCTCTTCTAACACCGGATGTACTATGGCTTTCCCAGGGTCCACTCCAGGCTCTTTACCTAGCGTCCGCCCCTCGAGAGAAGCCCCGCCCCTGCGTCCTACTTAAGGCCAGTCCTCATTGGCCGCTGGCCCCACTTCTGCCTTTCCATTGGTTGTGCGTGCATAAACAACGGCAGCTTAGTTTATATTCATTAGATAATATCCTTGTCGATCAAGACTGGCCACCAACTGCCGTGGTAGTAAAAGATCTCCGCCTTTTTCCTCCCTTCAGTAAAGAAGGATCGCTGTACGCTGCCCCCTCTAGTGGAGAAAGTGAAAAAGGACAGGCCCCGCCCACGACACCTGGCAAGTTATGGAGCCCCCGGACGTGTGATGGGGTCTCGCTGCAAAGTCCTGGGATTCTGGTTTTAGCTTCTCAAGAAATGTTAAAGGTGGAAAGCGATTCAGCAAACACTTAGAAAAGAGCCTTCACAAGGGCCGATTTACCGTGAAACTAGTGGAGCTTAAGCTTCAGAGCATCTTTGAAGGCTCAGCGAATTCTCCAGGAACGAGAGGAAGAAATAGCAGCCCCAGTCTTGTACCTGACGGTGGGACCCCAGCATAGAGGTCACTCTGTTAAGCCAAGTAGGGGTCTTGGGACCGCGAGGCGGACGGCTGCCAAGACCACCTCCCAACCTGCCTGCTTGGGGAAGTTGGGTGGGACGCTCGGTAAAGAGCGTCTTCATGGACACCTCTGCCCTGCGAGTTGGGGGTGGAGTGGGGTGGGTGGGCCAGGGGACGAGGGTGGTGACGACCTGACCAAGCTGTCCTTAGCGGCCACTTTGGAGACCGAGCCAAGGGAGATCAAAGGGCTGGCGTTTCCCCCACTCCTTCGTTGTCTCCAGCAAGAAGCACCACTTGTGCAAGAACCTGTATTAATAGTAAGGAGTTACGACGCTGGTAAAAAGAAAAAAAAAAAAGTAGGGGAGGGGAGACTTACAGTGATTGCCAGGCAGTTAATAATATTATTTTTCTGGATTTTGTGATGTTTTTGGTTTTTATTAGCATTTTTTTTTTTTTTGAAACAAGGTCTTGATCTGTCACCCGTACTGGAGTGCAATGGCGCAATCATAGCTCACTGTAACTTCTAACTATTCTCTCCTCAGCCTCCCGAGTACCTAGGACTACTACAAGCGCTGGCTACCATGCCTGGCTAATTTTTTGTATAGATGAGGGTCTTGCAATGTTTCCCAGGCTATTGTTAGCATTTAAAAATCTATACTGATTTTTTTCATTCTAAATAAATGTTGACTTTATTACACTATTTTGTATTCTTCATTACATAATTTTATTTACTCTATTGACTTTATTATGTAATTTTAGAGCCCCACAAAGCATTCCTGACCTTCATTTTACAAATGAGGAAACAGGCCCACAGTCAGAAAAGGTTGTGGCAAAATAAAAGAAGAAATTTAGATTAAGCATTTGATCAATGGAGATTAGATCAGAATCGAGGATTAAGGAAATTACTTTTTAGAAGGATAGAATAGTTATCTTTTCAGTAAAGACTACACTGTGCAGAGTATGATTCTCAGTACACAAACCCAGGTATGTAATAAATATACATTTATTTTCCATAATGCAGCCTAATACCTACCCTGAACCTCATTCCACCAAAATGGAAGAAAATTATTATCATTCTTCCTTGGGTTTTCTCTACCCACCCCCATTCTAATTACTGCCACATTTCTGAGGCCAAAGTGCTGGGGACCAAGGCCTGTCTGGTTCCTGGTCATCAATCCACACCTGTTGCTACAGAGATTTTTGCCTTTGCACTAGTGTGGCTCTTTCAGAAAGGTGCAGCTGTTCTATTTCCATACTGTATTTAAGGTCTGATAGACCTTTTGTCAGGCTGATAATTGAACTCTCCAACTAAAACTATAGGTTGCTAAGAGCTGTGTCTGCAGTGTTGACTGACATATATTATCCATTCATTGAGCACCTATCATTTGCCTATTTTAGGCACTTGTGGATGCATTAGTGAACAAAAATCACTGCCCTCATAGGGCTTACCTTCTAGCAGGGAGATAAAAACTAAATAATAAGCATAATAATAAGTAAATTATATAGTGTGTTAGAATATAAGTGCTATAAAATAGAGTAGGAATTGGGGCCAGGTGCGGTGGCTCACACCTGTAATCCTAGCACTCTGGGAGGCCGAGGCAGGCAGATCTCTCAAGGTCAGGAGTTTGAGACCAGCCTGAGCAAGAGTGAGACCCCTTCTCTACTAAAAGTAGAAAGAAATTAATTGGCCAACTAAAAATATGTAGAAATAATTAGCCGGGCATGGTGGAGAATGCCTATAGTCCCAGCTACTCGGGAGGCTGAGGCAGAAGGATTACTTGAGCCCAGGAGTTTGAGGTTGCTGTGAGCTAGGCTGATGCCACAGCACTCTAGCCATGGCAACAGAATGAGACTCTTGTCTCAAAAAAAATAAAAAATAAAAAATAAATTGTGGAAATTGAAGGGTATAAGCAGAACAGTTAGAAGGCTTACACCAAAGTAGTAGTGGTGGAGGTGGTAGGAAGTAGATTCTGAAAATATTTTGAAGATAAAACAAATATAATTTTCTGGCAGATTGGATATGGATATAAGAGAGGAATCAAGGATGACTCTTAGGTTTTTAGTCTTATGTATTATTTATCATTTTGTAACAAATCACTCCAAAACTTAGTGTCTTAAAACAATAATCATTTATTGTCTGTAGGTCAAGAGTTTGAGAGCAGTTTGGCTGGGCATTTTTGGCTTAGGGTCATTCATGAGGTCACAGTCACATTTCAGCAGGGACTGTAGTCATCCAGAGGCTTGACTGGGGCTGGAGGAACTACTTCAAGTGGCTCACTAAAAGTAGCTGACAATTTGGTGTTGGCTGTTGGTAGAAGGCCTGAGCCCCTTGCCATGTAGGCTCCTCCATAGGGCTGTTTGCCCTTACAGCATGAGGGTTGGCTTCGCCCAGAGTGAGCAATTCCACTGATCTAGGGAGCTTGATCAAAGCTCTTTTTATGGCTTATTTTCATTTGTCACATAGCCATCATTTCCTTATAACACTCTTATGTACACAGATTCCTGCCCTGGGTCCTGTGCCTCAAAGGGTCTCATGCTTTGGAGGGCCTTCCTAGAAATTTTCCAAGTCTCCTTCCAGAACCTGGGACCAGCCAGGACCATTGGTGCCTTCAAAGCTGCACCCAGATGAGGCCCTGCATAAGCCCTGGTCCCAGTTTCTCTCCTCATGCCATTCTCCAATCCTAGGATGTCCAGGAAACTCTGGAACTCATGCCTTATAGGGTCATACCAGGGTCTAAGCCTCAATTCCAAGAGGGCATCCTGGCAAGTCAATCACTGGCCAGCACAGTTGCTAGCCAGCACAATATTTCTTTTGCAGAATAGTGTGATATTGGGTCTCCAGAATGGTACTGACATGCTGATTTTGGATCAAACACAAGATGAGTTCAGGTCTCTGGGCTACTGACAATCCTCCACCAACCCTTGGGCACAAGCCATGTTTTTGGGTCCCTGTGGAGGCTCTCTCCTGTCAGTGTTCTGACTATTAAACTGCTGGTGGTCCATAGCACCTGAGGTCCATAGCACCTGAGCACAGCAGGGTGGCAGCAGGCATCTTTTATCCTGTGTATGACCACATACCACCTCCCTACCTATCCCATCACTGGCACTCAAGGTAGTCACCCCACACCCTCCAAAGACTCCATGCATGCATTAGACAGTCTTCTGGGGTAGTTACCTTTCTCCTTCAAGGTCATTTCTGAATGCTTTTGGGATTGTTGTTCCACAGGGTGAGAGGGCCTTTGCCAACTGCTGTCCTCTTGCTTCTGAATGATATGGTGATGTAATGCTCTCTCCCATATTAGTCTTAAGTCATGCCAAAAGAGGCGTGCAGGAATGGATCACTCTTCTTGCTGCACCCATGGGCCCTTCCCATATCTTCCCTACTGGTGATGATGTCTAAAAGATGGGGGTGTGGTCAACCTGGAAAGAGCTCATAGTCTAGGAATGTTGCAATTGTGGTTTAAAGTGTACATGAGAGGATATGGTTTGAAGAAGTGTTATTCTATATTTATGATATAAAATTATGAATTAAAATTTAATATGACCAGAAAACAAATCATCGTTCACATTTTCAGGCATTCTCTGGGTAAGACTTGTGTTTGTAATCATCATCAACAGAACACAGTGATAATTTTTGAGAGTGTCATGGGCAAGGTAGTGATGTATTATGAGTAATGTAATCAGGAGTATTAAGGAACTCTAGAGTCAAAAATATCTATATTGTTTCAGTACAAACAAGTTCCAAAGGGCCATGGCATTGCATTAACAGAGTTACTACCTTGTCTTCTGGTGGGAGATGGGAAATTAGCCAGGAATGACACATTTGACAATAAAGAACAGGAAGAACATGACTTTTGGACAAGAAGAGATGGTAGCTGTATACTATGAAGAATCATAACATACACTCATGGAAAATAAACAGATACCTCTTTTCTAATTCTAAATCTTCTTGATAAATCATTTTATTATTTTTTTTTTATGTAACCAAGATGTTTGTATAAATCATTTTATTATTATACTTCACATAGGATCATAAATTTTATAATGCATTTTAAAACTGAGACATAATTCGGCATACCATAAAATTCACCCTTTTAAAATGTACATATC